TACATCCTGTTTTTCAGTGACCTGAGATGTAGTGCTATCAAAGTAGTTAAGTATACTGTGAACTTAATATAACCTTGGAGCCACTTAAGATCAAAACTGAAAAAATTAGGCTAAAAAGCAGGGACATAAGAAATGTCCTAATAAGAACTTCTAGGTTGTGGAATAACCTTGCAACAATAGAGGTGGAGCCCTATTGACTGGACAAAATATTAAAACAATAGAAAATACACAGTAGTGAACAATCCTGGACTACTGGGAGAAAAATTTTATCATACTCGTCCAAAATATTGCTGCAGCGCTATAAGCTACAATATGTTCAGCAGCTAATGTAGGCTAACTATAATGTGATAACTTTGATATGTTAAATGTTTACTTGCCCTCATGAGCAGAGAAACTTTCTGAAACAAGAATAATAGCTTATACAATTTTGCTATTTAAACTAATATTGATCACAGGTAAACAACCATTTGACCTCTCTGAATGAAGCATTTCACCCCAAAGCATTACAAACTTTCACTCATTCCTCTTAATATTTTAGCTCCACCAGCATACAAAGGAAGTAACGCTGGCAGCAAGGAGGACTGTTCACTCTAATTAAACAATATGTTTCAATGTAAATTTTGCTGCTGTAGCAGTGCACTTCAGTTATTTCCATAAAGAATCTGTCTCTTACCCCTGGTTATATTGTTTCTGATACTGAGGTATAATAGTAGAATATCTTCATCATTCAACTTTATCCAAACATTTGTCTTTTGTGCAAAATAAATCAATAAATATTCAGATAGACTTGAGCAATACTAAGAACAGTGTTTTGTTTAGTTTTTTTTGTTTGTTTTTACAGTAAAACATCTGGGAGTTAACATGTTAGTTTTTTAGATATACATGGTGCCACAAAACTCTGGAGACCTCATTTGAATAATTGTGAATCATCTTGCTTTTCAGCCAAACTATTTGCAGTTTTATGGTCTCTCCAGATTTGAGTGACACTTGTGTCACCATAGCCTTATTTTGTCACTTCTATAACACAAAGATACTTTAAGCCTCAGGTAGGGTAGAGATCTTCATGGATGACAATTTAATGGCAGTTCTGTAGTGTGGGTCATGCAAATACTACTTTTTAAAATATTCTGTGTACGCTTCTGAAGTGTTTTGAATTGTAGTCAAGTCACTTTGCATCCTAGACAAAAGTAGACTTGATTGAAGAATTTTCCCTTTAGATCAGATGATGATGCTATCGTGTTTAAGAAGTAATATGTCATCACTAGGGGAGACAAAGAGCTGTGTTGTCTCAATGTGCATATAGTTTGCAACTGTACATCTTTTATCATACCCAGATGGCTTCATTAATATACTATCCGAGTGACTAGCTAAGGCAGGCATGGGCAAACTACAGCCTAGGGGGCCACATCCAGTCCTCCAGATGTTTTAACCTGGCCCTTGAGCTACTGCAAGGGAGCAAGGAGTGGGGCTTGCCCTGCTCCAGTGCTCCAGCAGAGGAGTGGGGTCAGGGGCTTGCCCTGCTCCGTGCAGCTCCTGGAAGCAGCGATATATCCCCCCTGCGGCTCCTGTACATTAGGGTTAGCCAGGAGGCTCTGCACACTGCCCCTGCCCCAAGCGCCGCCTCCACAGCTCCCATTGGCTGGGAACTGCAGCCAATGGGAGCTACAGGGGTGGCGCCTGGGGCGGGGCAGTGTGTAGAGCCTCCTGGCTGCCCCAACACATAGGAGCCAGGGGAGGGACATGTTGCTGCTTCTGGGAGCTGCTTGAGGTAAGTGCCATCCGGAGCCTGCACCCCTGCCCCCTTCCCGCGTGCCAACACCTTGCCCCAGCCCTGATTCCCCTCCTGCCCTTGAACCCCTCGGTCCCAGCCCAGAGTACCCTCCTGCACCCCAAACCCCCAATTTTGTGAGCGTTCATGGCTTGCCATACAATTTCCACACCCAGATCATAGAATCATAGAATATAAGGGTTGGAAGGGACCCCAGAAGGTCATCTAGTCCAACCCCCTGCTCGAAGCAGGACCAATTCCCAGTTAAATCATCCCAGCCAGGGCTTTGTCAAGCCTGACCTTAAAAACCTCTAAGGAAGGAGATTCTACCACCTCCCTAGGTAACGCATTCCAGTGTTTCACCACCCTCTTAGTGAAAAAGTTTTTCCTAATATCCAATCTAAACCTCCCCCACTGCAACTTGAGACCATTACTCCTCGTTCTGTCATGTGCTACCATTGAGAACAGTCTAGAGCCATCCTCTTTGGAACCCCCTTTCAGGTAGTTGAAAGCAGCTATCAAATCCCCCCTCATTCTTCTCTTCTGCAGGCTAAACAATCCCAGCTCCCTCAGCCTCTCCTCATAACTCATGTGTTCCAGACCCCTAATCATTTTTGTTGCCCTTCGCTGGACTCTCTCCAATTTATCCACATCCTTCTTGAAGTGTGGGGCCCAAAACTGGACACAGTATTCCAGATGAGGCCTCACCAATGTCGAATAGAGGGGAACGATCACGTCCCTCGATCTGCTCGCTATGCCCCTACTTATACATCCCAAAATGCCATTGGCCTTCTTGGCAACAAGGGCACACTGCTGACTCATATCCAGCTTCTCGTCCACTGTCACCCCTAGGTCCTTTTCCGCAGAACTGCTGCCTAGCCATTCGGTCCCTAGTCTGTAGCTGTGCATTGGGTTCTTCCGTCCTAAGTGCAGGACCCTGCACTTATCCTTATTGAACCTCATCAGATTTCTTTTGGCCCAACCCTCCAATTTGTCTAGGTCCTTCTGTATCCTATCCCTCCCCTCCAGCGTATCTACCACTCCTCCCAGTTTAGTATCATCCGCAAATTTGCTGAGAGTGCAATCCACACCATCCTCCAGATCATTTATGAAGATATTGAACAAAACCGGCCCCAGGACCGACCCTTGGGGCACTCCACTTGATACCGGCTGCCAACTAGACATGGAGCCATTGATAACTACCCGTTGAGCCCGACAATCTAGCCAGCTTTCTACCCACCTTGTAGTGCATTCATCCAGCCCATACTTCCTTAACTTGCTGACAAGAATACTGTGGGAGACCGTGTCAAAAGCTTTGCTAAAGTCAAGAAACAATACATCCACTGCTTTCCCTTCATCCACAGAACCAGTAATCTCATCATAGAAGGCGATTAGATTAGTCAGGCATGACCTTCCCTTTGTGAATCCATGCTGGCTGTTCCTGATCACTTTCCTCTCATGCAAGTGCTTCAGGATTGATTCTTTGAGGACCTGCTCCATGATTTTTCCAGGGACTGAAGTGAGGCTGACTGGCCTGTAGTTCCCAGGATCCTCCTTCTTCCCTTTTTTAAAGATTGGCACTACATTAGCCTTTTTCCAGTCATCCGGGACTTCCCCGGTTCGCCACGAGTTTTCAAAGATAATGGCCAATGGCTCTGCAATCACAGCCGCCAGTTCCTTCAGCACTCTCGGATGCAACTCGTCCGGCCCCATGGACTTGTGCACGTCCAACTTTTCTAAATAGTCCCTAACCACCTCTATCTCCACAGAGGCCTGTCCATCTCTTCCCCATTTTGTGATGCCCAGCGTAGCAGTCTGGGAGCTAACCTTGTTAGTGAAAACAGAGGCAAAAAAAGCATTGAGTACATTAGCTTTTTCCACATCCTCTGTCACTAGTTTGCCTCCCTCATTCAGTAAGGGGCCCACACATTCCTTGGCTTTCTTCTTGTTGCCAACATACCTGAAGAAACCCTTCTTGTTACTCTTGACATCTCTGGCTAGCTGCAGCTCCAGGTGCGATTTGGCCCTCCTGATAACATTCCTACATGCCCGAGCAATATTTTTATACTCTTCCCTGGTCATATGTCCAACCTTCCACTTCTTGTAAGCTTCTTTTTTATGTTTAAGATCCGCTAAGATTTCACCATTAAGCCAAGCTGGTCGCCTGCCATATTTACTATTCTTTCGACTCATCGGGATGGTTTGTCCCTGTAACCTCAACAGGGATTCCTTGAAATACAGCCAGCTCTCCTGGACTCCTTTCCCCTTCAAGTTAGATGTGACCCTCAGGCCAAAAAGTTTGCCCACCCCTGAGCTAAGGACTTGTATAAGAGTTAGCTGGATGAGGCTCAACTAGAATGAAAATAGAAGGTTATTCTGGTAGGCTGCCATTGACTCCTTCAGCTGAGGTATCCTATTACTCACTTTGCTTCTGAAGGTCTTATTATATACGTGCAACTGGTTTTTTGTAGAGCTGTAGAGTAATGACCAAGAGGACTTTTCTTTCCAAAGTACAAACAGGAAAAAGGTCACACTCTTCTTGTCAATGGGAGCATGTTTTGGCAGTCATAACTTTGTTCCTTCCCAAGTGCATCATAAATTGTGTATGGTTGCTTCAGAAGCCTGCTCAGCTAGTACCAAATGCAGTTGGCCTCTTGCTTAGCAGCCCTCTTTGTGTGGGTATCTGCAGTGGCTTCCATTGTGCTTATGTGTAATTCAAGTTGGTTCACCTTAATGTTTTCTGTCCTGAATGCCTTAGAGACTGCTTTTATGTTTGATACTATGGCAGTTAACAAAAGCCAAGGTGCTTGAGCCTGTCCTTTAAAAGGGGGAAGCCTAGAGTTTGGTATTTTATGGAGGAGTTTGCTTCGCTTTTCCTTTCCACCCCCACAGTCTGAGCTATAGGGCACTCTACAAGGCTTATCTACTACTCTTTTGAAGTGGGGGTGGGGTGGGGGGTGAGTTAAGTGGTGTGAATTTAGTCCTATTGAGTTGGGTGAGGAAAACTTGTGGTGTTCTCTCATTTTTTGTGTGTCCTTTTTGATTGTATATGTCTGGAACTTAAGATAGGCACTTCTTGTAAATGTAAAAACACAAATGTTTTTCTGGTGACTGAATTGTTTTACTTGAATTGCCTAGTAACTTAATCATGTTGAATGACTTTAAATACTACTGTATGTATGTTGAACTTCACCAATTCCTTCAATGTAGCTTTTTTCCCCTTTTCATACAGTCCTCAAGAGACCAAGTTTGTACAGTAACCCTTTCAGTGCGGTCAGTTACACAAGCCCTTATAGTCCAAATGCTAGTAGCCCCTACAGCAGTGGTTTCAACTCGCCTTCCTCAACACCAGTGAAACCTCCTTTAGTGAAACAGCTCGTATTTCCTGGTAGCTCAGGTAAGTGTCTGTTCTAAAAACACGGTGTGCTCTTGAGTTGTAGGATGGACTGGCAAGGAATTGAAGCTTATGTGGATAAGAAGATATTATACTAACAACTTGAGTTTCAGTAGGAAGCCTGCATCATATGTGAGATACTAACTTTGTAGGAAAAGCATTTGGCCAGCTTATTTTGGCATGAGTTATGCTGTTTCCCTCTGGGTCTTTTCTGTATTAGTCAAGTAATGTTACATGGACAAATAATGCATGTAACTTACTTGTATGGATATGAGTCATATTGCGTTTATTAAAAGGTTTGGTACAGCTTTTTGTAATATACGTTCATAATGGTTATCTGCACTAGTAGGCTGCAAAGCCTACAATTCTCTTATGCAATGAGGCAGTATAGCCAGCATCCGTGCAGGTGGTATAGAATCTTGTGGTACCAACAACCATATAACCTTGGTGTGAAAAGTGTGTGTATGAAAGGTATGTCTTGAAACTTCACAGTCTGACACACATACAATAACCTTTGGCAGTGTTTTTTGCCTTTATCTTTGGCTTTTTGACTCAGTTTATCTGGGACATCAGCAGACCTGTTGGGGAATGGGGAAGGCATCAGAAATGTGAAAGACTTTCTAGCAGCTTGTATAATTCTGCAAATGTTGATTAATAAAACCACTTTAAACAAATAGTATGGGTTACTGGATATATAAAAAAGTTTTTTTTTACTTAAGTTACATAAGTATTAAATTCCAGTTACATATTTAAGATTGTAACTTAACACGTATATGCAGTTATCCAATGGATCAACAAGTCTCTTGAAGTTTATAAATTCATAGATTCTAAGGCCAGCAAGGATCCCTGTAATAATGTAGTGTGCTGTCCTGTATAACACAAGCCATAGGACTTCCCCAAAATAATTCTGGTTTAAATTAGAAGGCATCTTTTAGAAAAACATCCAGTTTTGTGGAGAATCCACCACAATGCTTGAAAATGCTTTAAATGGTTAATTACCCTCTGTGTGTGTGTGTGTGTGTGTGTGTGTGTTTGTTTTTTAAAAGCCTTATTTCCTGTCTGAATTTGTCTAGTGAATTAGCTGTTTTGATAGATAGTGGGACACCCAGCCTTTTATCCACTAGTAGCCACTGAACTACTATGATACACTAGTAGCTACTGAGCTATTAAAATACAGTGCAGTGTATTTTGTGGGTTTTACTTTAATTTCTTTATACTTGTACAGGTCATTTTAAGAGTTCAGCGGATAGAAATCCTTCACTAAGCCCACAGTCCTCTATAGACAGTGAATTAAGTGCTTCAGAAATGGATGAAGACTCTATTGGATCAAATTACAAGCTAACTAATGTCACAGATGTGCAAATTCTAGCTCGGATGCAGGAGGAAAGTAAGTACTTTGCATACTGAAAGGCAACTCTTCTTTGATTACATAATTCCTTTAAACTTCAGCTGCAGACATTTTTAACTTTCTTATGCAGCAACTGGGGAAAGAATGGTAGAGGAGCGAGCAGGAGTTGCTGACTTATCAAATAGATGGCCCTAGTAGTAAAGTTAGAGCATTTAGAGCAATGAACTACTACATGGGAAAACCAGGTTTGAAATGGTCCCCCAAACTTGTACTTTGGGGCAGAAGTCCTTAAAAAGGTGGGTGAGGCATTGTACTCTAAGTTGTTGGAGGGGATGGGGATGGAAAATAGGTACAGGTTATATGCAGTTTGCAAACTTCGGCACTTTCTGTAACATGACTGACTGACTGACCCTTTTGCCCTCTGGTTAGAGGAGGATAAGGTTACTGTAAGGAGTTGGATTTAGAGGTAAGGAGCAGAAGAAATACTGGAGGACAGGAGAGGCAAATTGATGGCCCACAGTGGATTTTTTTTTTAAAATGCTAGTTGGACTCACCTAATATCCTAAGTCCCTTCTTCAGGGAACAAGTAATTCTTTAGCATACATCTGTCTTGGTGAGCTCAGTGCTCAAAGCCTGGAGAATAAACTTTTTCATTTGTCCACAGAACAGGTACAGATGAGAAAAGCAGCCATGCACACTTTCTCAGTTTTGATGTAGCCTTTGTTCAGCCATTTGTCTATTTTGTTTTTTAGCTTCTGCGGAGATTGCCAAAGGTGCTAATTATCATGGTTACTAATCTACCAGAACAGTTCTCAAACTGGCTTGTGGACCACTTGCTGGTGGTCTATGTGTAGAGCAAGCTGACCATACAGTTCTTCTTACTTCCAGTTGCTTAATGGTGCTGCTAGTAAGAGACATTTAATATTCTTCCTAATATTATTTTTCTAGGTAAGTAATTGCTGTAGTTGTCACAGTGTTATGGTGCAGATGTGAGGGGGAGGTGAGCAACCAAAAATGTAAGATGTGGTCCACACTATGGAAAAAACAAGATTGAGAAACCCGTCACAGGAAAGGGCCTGAGATCAGCTCCTTATTTCACATAGGCTACCAACCATCAGATAACTTTGTTGGTACAGATCTGGGATGAAATGGAATCCTCAAATAAGAGGGACTAGGATTTGCTAAATATGACTTTGAACTTGGGGTAGGTATTTGTATACACTATCTATATAGTATTAGCCATGTCTAGTCTAAGATAATCTGTAAACAATGTTTTTACTGTTGTCAGGTCTCCGGCAGGAGTATGCAGCCACTACTTCTCGACGTAGTTCTGGTTCCTCTTGCAATTCTACAAGACGGGGTACGTTTAGTGATCAGGAACTTGATGCACAGAGTTTAGAGGATGAAGAAGAGAGTACACATCATGCAGTGCATCCAGCTGTTAAGTTCTCACCATCGCCACGCAACTCGCCGTGGCCTTCACCAAAGCAATCTCCCAGGAATTCTCCTCGTTCTCGATCACCTGCTAGAGGCCTGGAATATAGCAGAGTGTCACCCCAGCCTATGATTAGCCGCTTACAGCAACCTCGTCTTTCGCTTCAAGGCCATCCTACGGATTTACAGACTAGCAATGTCAAAAGTGAAGGTAAAGAGCTCTGTCTCAAATGTGTGCACTGAGCACTAATGCAGTAGTATAATGTTGTAAATAAATGTAGTGATCAGTTTGCAATGTGAGTGATCAATAACTTGTGGCAAACCTGGTATACCTAAGCTATCCAAAGAAAATACAAAGGCTCTTAATGGATACCAATGAGACCCTAAGAGCTCTCACACTTGTAAGTTTTTTTTACTTCAATCCAGTAGACATGAGGGATTATATACCTATTTCCTGCATCTGACTAACTGTATTTCTTCTAAATCAGGATGGCCCAGTGAACAGCCACTCATCCTGATAAAACAGTTGTCCCCCGACTCCCATCTAAGGCTATTCTCACTTGGATGAACTCCAGCATTACTTGGGAGCAGCTACTGAGTTCTGTCCTAATCTCTGCAGAGTATAGAACAGGGGTGGGCAAACTTTTTGGCCTGAGGGCCACATCGGGTTTCCAAAATTGTACGGAGGGCTGGTTAGAGGAGGCTGTCTCCCCCCAAACAGCCAGGCAGCCCAGCCCCCGCCTCCTATCTGACACCCCCCCACACTTCTCGCCCCCGTCCCCTGACGGACCACCCGGGACTCCTATCCCATCCACCACCACCTGCTCCCTGTCCCCTGACCACCCCCAGACCTCCCCCCCGCCGCCCCATCCAACCCCCCCCCTCATTCCTGACTTGCCCCCCGGGACCTCTGTCCCATCCAGCCCCCCTGTTGCCTGCCCTCTGACTGCCCCGACTCCTATCCACACCCCTGCCCTCTATCCAACCCCCCTGCTCCCTGCCCCCTTACCGTGCTGCCTGGAGCACCGGTGGCTGGTGGTGCTGCAGCCACGCCACCCAGAGCACTGGGTCAGGCCGCGGCTCTGCAACTGCGCTGCCCAGCCACCCAGAGCGTTGCGCTGGTGGTGAGATGCGCTGAGGCTGCGGGGAAGGGGGGAACAGTAGGGGAGGGGCCAGGAGCTCAGGGGCTGGGCAGGAGGGTCCTGCGGGTTAGATGTGGCCCGCAGGCCGTAGTTTGCCCACCTCTGGTATAGAAGCTCCACAGGGACAAATAACCAAGGTGCTGTGATACTTAAGTAATGGATGTGGTATTTAAAACTTAGCTGGAATCCCCAGAACAGGGAAATGCCATGTGTTGGGAAGGGAAGGTCTTTCCCAAATAAGCAGCAATCCTTCTATTCAACAAGTTGGCGGCGGTGTGAGTATGGGCATTCCCTGGAAGAAGACGGTCTTAAACTATGGCCCTGTTAAATTGAGTCTGATGTACAGACAATAAACACTCACTTAGGCTGTGTCTACACTGTGCATCTTACAATGGCGCAGCTGTGCCGCTGCAGCCACACTGCTGTAAGGTGCCCAGTGTAGCTGCTCTTTGTTGCCAGGAAAGAGCTCTCCCAGCTACAAAATAAAACCACCCCCAGTAACAGGCAGTAGCTTTGTCGGCAGGAGAGTGGCTCCTGCTGACGAAGCGCTGTCCACACTGGTGCTTTTCGTTGTCAAAATTTTTGTCATTCAGGGGTGTGTATGTGTTGTTTTTTTCACATCCCTGAGCGACAGAAGTTTTAACGATGAAAGTGCCAGTGTAGATGTGACCTTAGAAAGCTGTTAATTGTTTAAAATACAGATTGGAAGCCTGTGTAAGAATATGCACTTTTGTGTAACGTGTTTAATGGTTTGGACTTTCGTTTTTTTAATTTTAAAGATTCCATGGTGCTCTTTGCAAAAACACAAGTGTTCACCATGGCATATGGGCACAAATTCCATTCTGGATAATTGTGCCTACCTAAAACTATTTTCGGTTAGGTACAGTGAGTCTTGTCAAAATAAACTGTACTGTTTCATCTCAGATGATTGCATGTCAGTAGTAGTAGAATGAATTTTTTTTTTAATTTATATATCGAGAGATTGAAAACTGTGTAATTATATAATACTTTTTCAAAGACTGTTACTTAAGCTAAATTGATGGAAAAATTATTATGGTCAAACATCATGTAATATGTAGTACAAAAAATGCAGATAATCTTTCACAATGCAGTTCACAATGCAGATAATCTTTGAGAGTTTCAAAATTGGCTATATTTCTGACTTTCCATAGCACACAGCAAAATGGCAAAGTATTTATTTGGGAAAAAAATACATGCAGAATATTTCATATGCAAGGCATAAGAAAATAAGTATGTAATCTGTAGAACAGTAGAATGATCTAAATCAGTGGTTCCCAAACTGGGGTTCACGGGAAAAAATTCCCTAATGGCAGACAGAGCTGTCCCTAGGGATGCCAGGCAGCACAGGGCCAGCAGCCCAGAGCCGCTGGACTTCCAAGAGCTAAGCAGATCAAAGCAAGCATATCTATCACACTGAGGAGATATAAACTTCAAGACTCCTTATAAGAAATGGAAAGGGAGGTGGATATTTTCGCTGTTTTTAAAATTAAATAGGCAGCTAGTATTGTTTTTAAAATTATTATGAAGAACAATTTTAAGCTTTGTTGTAACATGCATTGTTTGCCTGGACTGCTCAAGACCTGATTGCTTGTGTAGGAGGAACTCTTTGAGTTGGCTTCTTAAATACTTTCATGCTGTTCCACATCAGATACTCCTTGATGAAACCTAGGAGTCTTGTCTTATAACAGGCTTATTCAAAGTGATTCAGTCTATGAAAGTGAGATCTTGGAAGCGTGTTGCCGTTTTCATAATGTAATAAAAATACTGTAATGATGAAAAATAATAAGTAATGTGTAATAAGCATGTCATAAAAACAAATTTTATATTTCCAAGAACACTACTTCTATAATTTATACTTGAGTAAAGGAGAAAATCTCTGGAAATACTCATTTTTAGGAGGGGGTTCGCGAAACCTGACATTTTAGTGAAAGGGGTTCACAGGTTGTTAAAGTTTGGGAACCACTGGTCTAAATAGTATTTAGTTTTGCCACCGCATGCTTTTGAATTGCAGTGCAGTTTTGTACAGCAAAATTAATTTTCATGTCAGTTTTTGAAGACCGTGAGACCATCAGTTATGTTGTCAGTCTTCTGCATCAGATTGTACGTTGTCTTTGTATTGTTTTTTATACAGAAAAACTAAGGCGTAGTCTTCCAAACTTGTCCAGGACATCTAACATCCATGCTGAGTCTGTGAAAAACAGCAGAAGTGATTCAAATTTTCAAGTGCCAAATGGAGGAATACCTCGCATTCAACCTCAGGCCTCAGCCAGTAAGTGTCTTTACGGTGATATTGTAAACACGTATTTTGGAATTAGATTGAAAGCAGTAGCATGTGTTTACAGTTTCATGGTAAAGAGAACCATTTCATAAAGAACTACACATCATATTAGCCTTGATGTTTAGTCAAGTCTGAGATCAGGTTATCTATAAATGCCAAATCTGACAGGAAAAAAACCAACAGATTGTTTCCAAGTTTAGCACTTCTCTTCCATTAAAATTATGTATGTGCCTACTATTGTCCAAGTTATCTTTCATAACTTCTTAATATTTTTCGTCACCCTCTTGAAGTTTCCACAGAGTTTTCCCCTCTTTTTCCCTTAATTGTGTGTGAGATTGCTTGTAATTGTTGAAATGCAGTATTAGTGCTGTATTTTCCTCTGTAAAATAAAATGAATACTGGCGAAGCATTACATGAACTTTGAACTGATGAGAAAACATCAGTTGTTACTTGTATACAAAATATGACCAACACTTTTTTAAAAATGATATATTTAATATTTTGGTATATTCTGGTATAAGTGTTTAGTATACATACACTTCAGGCTAGAGTATTGTGGAAACCATTTTTATTTACTATAATTAGAGAACTTGTACAGTGCTACTTTGTACTGTTGCATTTTCTTTTCAAGAGTTTATGAAAACTAACTTTCTGGTTTTCTTCACCCTTTAATTATATTGCAGTACACAAAAATGAGGTAAATATGGTTTTTAAAGGATGCTGAAAGCTGATCTGAAATTTTATATATATTTGTCTTGTTTTGGCTCAGTCATTTATCTCTCTTCCTCTGCCCTATCAGATGGGTCTCTTCTTTGTAAGCCAGTGAAGTAATGAAATGCAGGATATCAAAAACGTAAAAATCCATGCTCAAATGCAGGATTCTTGCAAGTTGCAATACCTTCCAAGTAAAGGATGAAATGACTTTCAAATCCCTATTATGTGCACATACATTACTGTCAAGCAAAACCAACTTAATGCTCTGAGTTAAACTGCAAGATTAGATTTGTATTCATATTGCAGGCCTCTCCTTAAAGGACTCACCATGTTAAAAAACAAAACAAAAGCAAATGTATTTTAAGGTGGATGTCTAGGAGTTCTGTACCTGTATCTTTTTAGTCTTCAAATATTCATTCACAATTGGATGCTTCTAGGATAATGTGATGACCATCTTTGTCTAAGCATTAAAGGTTTAATGTGTAGATTTTTAGTGTGTGAAATTCTAAAGGAAGCAAAACATGATCAAATGGTTAAGGAAGAAAACATGAATTATTATTTCAAGTTGTTAGGCAATAAAAGCACACTATTAGATACAAGCTTCTAAAATATGTGGTGTATATCCTTACTGGATATTAATAGTTTGACTTAACTGAGTTTCTTGCTTTAATAGTTTTAAGAACTACTTCCACTGTCAGACAAACTATATATAAAATCGCATTAAATTATGTATTATCATATTGGTCTACAGTAAGTTAAAAAACCAATTTGGTAGCAGCTCTCCTAATGGAATATTTCAATGGTAGTTTTAATTGCTTAAGAATGTTGCATATTCGTAATAATTTAAAACAAAAGTAGGGTTTTAGCAAACCCGTATCAGTTACTTGGGGGCAAATGTTTTAATATTGTGCAAACTTGAAGGAAAGACTAAACAAAACTTACTTGGCCAGAACACTTTCTGTTGTTTACTATACAAAAGTTAAACTTTACACAGCCTAGCTTGTACTGCTTAATCCTGCCATGAAGTCATAATATTGTGACTTCAAGTTTAGAATGGTAATTAGACTGCAGGATCCAAAGTAGGTGGATGCCCCTGTTTAAACAGTGTAATTAATTAACAGACAGATAAGAATAATGGAAATCATTAGGTGAATTTGATTATATACAATACTTGAATATTTTTTCAAAGCACGAAAGTCCCTGTAGATAAATAGGATTTCATGAATAAAGCCCAGACTTTTACCCCTTAACAGTTTCCTTGCTCTTGTTGATGTCAGATCCTTGCTATTGAATATACAAACCAATATGGTTTTTTTTTTTAAGATTTAGATTAGAACATGAAGTAAATCTATTTCGGATGGTCTTATGTATGTGTACATACAAACAGCCAGTGTTAAGCATTGAGTTCCTGGAATTCTGATCATTCCTGTATTTGAACCTCCATTTTTTCCCATTGACTTTGTATTTAACTGTTTCACTTTGGACAAATGCCATTGTTAAATTGTTGCGAAGTTTGTCATATTTTCCTGTGGCAAGGACTTCTTGGGTTTTGAGATCCAAATCTTTCACCTGCTGGTCTTGCATGAGCTTAACCTTGCAAGTTTGCTACATTTCTATCTAAGGTTGTTGCTTTTTCCTTGTCAAAGGCTGCTGTTCACTAGCTAATGAACATGCTTATTTGCTATGGCTGCATTACTAATGTGCTGTGGATGCTGGCAATTGAAAATTAGTTGGGAATGCAGTAAGACCTCTAAGTTGGCAACTGCTCAGATGTGTGATTTGTTGAACAGGCAACTTTAGAGATGTCTAGTCTAAGTGTAAGTGGAAGAAATGTACTTCCAGACATGATCTTCAGTGTGTGTAGTGTATAGGGTATAAAGACAGTTACTGTGATAAGTTCTTAACTGTAATCCAACTGAAAAATTATTTTCAGTCTGATGCAGTCTAGTGTAAAGTCACTGCTCAATCAGTCCATCTATAAGTAGTGGATTACAGTTTCTGTTTAAAACTGGCTAACTTACATGCTCCTATTTGTAGCGATTTGAAACTCCTGAGTGATATGTAAAAAATCACTTTGAATGTAGATAAACTATTGAACGAGTGTCTCTTCTTACTAGATCTTAACTATCCATATTGTAATACTTAAGTTCCATATATCAAAGAACAAGCTCTTACAAATACCTTTGTTACATTGGATTTTCAAATATTATATAAGTGTATGGACAGTGTCACACATTCCTTTAGAGTTTGTCTCCCAAGCCATGCAAATCTCTGAAAAGCTATTGGGAAAACTTTTAGGGGGACCTTCCAGATGGAAGACAAATACTTCTATTAAATCAAGTACATAATACATATCCTTTCACTTATATCAGTGTATTAAAATTCAGATGTACTAGGTGAAATCCTAAAAGTGGAGTTAAACACACTTGGCTGTTATTAATTCAGTTGGCAGCATTTACGGCCTAGTTGCCTACTTATCTTTTGATAAAGTGGCTGAAATCATAAATGGCCAAGGTGAAGCTCTGTAGCACGGAAAGAGGATAAAAACGAAAATCAAACATTCTGATGCAAATAATGGCCTACATTGCTATAGTTTTTGTTGATTTGAAATATTGCTTTAAAAATATTTGTTATAAATCTGCATTGCACTTCAAGAGTGTGCCCTGTATGGCAGAGTAAGTTTAATAGTATTCGTAGCATTTTACAAGTAGCATAATTGTAGGTGTTATTGTTAAAGTTCAACTTTATGTAACCAAAACTGATAGAAGTAGATAAAATATCTTAAAACATTTGCATTGGATATTATATCCTATTACATTCTGCATATCCACCAAAGGGAAACTACTCATTTTATATATTTCCATGTGAATCATAGAGTATCAGGGTTGGAAGGGACCTCAGGAGGTCATCTAGTCCAATCTGCTGCTCAAAAGCAGGACCAATCTGCAATTTTTGCCCCAGATCCCTAAATGGCCCCCTCAAGGATTGAACTCACAACCCTGGGTTTAGCAGGCCAATGCTCAAACCACTGAGCTATCCCTCCCCCTAGTTGTTTCCTCAGCTTTGCTCCCCTCTAATGCCCAAAATTCTTTTCAGTGATATTAGTGCAAATAATTATGTAGTTAGAGAATCTTCATGAAGTATAGCAGAGAATTTGATCTGTAAATGGGACATCTGTTTTAAAATCTTACATATTGATCCACTAACTTCACTTGCAAATGAAATGTAAGTGTCATGATAGAAAAAATCACTTAAAAACTTCAATTCTAGTACCAGATCTTCATTCAAATCAGTTAAGCAATATCAGAGAATCAGCTAAATGTGCTGTAGCAAAATTAATGGGTGGCTTCCTTACCCAAATATAAATAGGTTGAATAGTATATTGGGACATGGGTTTGAGAAATAAATCTGCCTTTTAAATTCATTCTTGAGAAACTTTCTTCTGGAGCATACAAGAAGCCTCTCTTGTCTTTGAGTGGTATTATTACAGCAGAGTGAGACTAGAAGTAAACGTTACTGAATCAATAAGAAACCAGTAGGCAGAGGCACAGGTAGGCATGTTGGACTAGTGGTCTGTTACTGTTTAATTCCTAGATATGATCATTTGGAAGCTTTTGTTCATTTCTACAATTAAAACCATTGTGTGCTTTGATATCTTTTCACTTTTCTTGTTTGTGTTTAATAGGCTGTAAGTGGGGGTACATTGTACAAAAATGCTTTACAACCTAGAAATTAAGTTCAGCAAAGGATTCCCAGTGAGTTTGTACATCAGAAGTGGTGATGAAACTGTGTAGAGGGGGTGTGTGTGTGGGTGTGTGAAGCTACACACTTCTATCACAGAATGGTGTTCAGACTTGTTAGGCTCTATCTGGTACAAAGTATCACCACTGTTCTTTGTATTTATAAATTACAGAGCTAGCTAGTGTTATATTTATGAGCACTTCATTATTTTTTACTATTTTATGAAAGAATAACAATTCGGAGTAAACACTTTTTATTATAGCATTTAAGACCAAGACAAGCAGACATGCCAGCCAGCCATAAATTGAGATGAGGAAAATTGTGCAATTTTCTGTTCTCTCCCTCCCTGCTCCTCAAAGCGCTATTGTACCTTTTGAAGTGGAAGAGGGCCCCTGGAGATAATCTTACATTATGATTGAATATGAATGATTGTAAAGTTGGTGAAGTTAAAAGTATTTTAAAAATGTTACTAAGGTGCTAATTCCCCCCCCTCCCCCCAATCAAAGTGCCTCCAATTCTAGTGTTCGACTTGATGTAGAATGCTGTGGGGCTTGGTGTGCAGGACAGGCCTTGTATTCATAACTGTCCTCCCTCAGGGGTTATGCTGAGGATAGTAACTGAGGTCTATACCATTTTAGTACTGGTATAACTGTCAGGTCGGTATGCGTTTTCTCCCCTACCCCCCACAATAGTTACTTATACAATTCCTAGTGTGGATGCAGTTACACCAATGTAAAATTGCCATGTACTGGTACAGCTTATTCCCATTCCTATATAACTTATACTGGTATAAGAACTTTGGTATAACTGCCGGACACAGTGGGAGCATTGTACCACTTCATACCAGTACAGTGAAAATGGTGCAATTTTTGTGTGTAGACAAGGCCTTAGGCTCCAGTAGAGGCTACTCCCAGCTAGTGAAGATTGCTTTGAGAGTATATTGAATCTTGTCAGTTCCTGGCATGTTCGTTCCTGCCAAGCATCTGGTGCTCCTAGAACTTTGCTGGCTGGCTGTTGGCAAATGGTGGGTTACAGGGACCCTTTAAGGCACTAACAGGACTAGTTTTTTTGCTGAGATCTATTCTTGCAGAGCCAGCAAAGCCCAATAATTCTGGAACATATCTAAATTTGATGGTTGGCAGTCTTGAATTTGATTTTGATAATTAGCTTGCATACGTTTGTGTAAGTTTCAAGGGAAAGTCACCTTTTCTGAAAGTTTCTCTTTGCTTTAAAAGGAAAATTAACCTTGTTTTATCAAGTTAAATCTGACAGTCTTAGTTTCTATCTTTACTTTATATCTAATCTTGCACTGAGATTGCTGTGGCATGTTTGCTGGTGGCTTGTTCTCCCTTTGGTGTGTTTGTTTTGCCTTCCTGGGTTTTTAGCCCTGTAAGAAACTTCTTTACTATTAAGAAATATATGCATTTTGCACTACAAGGTTTTTGACACTTTCCCTTTGCAACCTTTTAATGCAGCAAGCACCACTTTAAAACAAAACACTTCACTTTTTATAGAGCCATAACAGCTTTTGAAAACTGTTGCTCACTTTGCTAGCTGCTTGTTCCCTGATGCTTCACAAGCAGATGTGGTTCTATATCCCAAGTGAATTGAGTTGTTGTCTTTCTAGACAAATATAACACTTCTTATCTTTCAACAGCTATGCAAAGGCAGAAAAAATTGCCTCGTGCTGCCTTCAAAACCAAACAGTTTCTTCAAACTCCATCTACAAAAGGAGGTAACTAACTTCCAGCCTCTTACCAAGTGCCAGCAAAACTCCGAAAACTGTTCACCTGTGTTAAATCTTGTACCTTTAACAAATATGAACAATTGCATGTAGAGATTAACAGTAAATTGAGTTTAATATATCAATATAGCACAATCATGTCTTATCTGCTGTGGGCAGAAAGGTTTCTTGAGGGATGGATATTAACTTTTGAGATATGATCCAAGGACTTTTGACTTCAAGCATAAGAAATAAATGAATAAAAAATCAGTTCTGGATTAGCAAAGCTGATTTCTAAAGCCATATTAATTAAGGCTGCATTTGTGAGATTAATTTTTAATCACTGCATTGTGTTTTTTTTAAACATCTCTTCTCCCTTTGCAATGGAAAATGTCAACAATCATGCATGAAAAATTGTTACCTTACACGTCAATGTTAGAAATAGATGCTAGCAAGTTAGTTAGTTCTGAAAAGTTCAAGTATAGCAGCAATTCTAGATGTGTTGCAAAAATAACAATAATTATACATTTTTAGTTAGGAAAATAGTCTAGAAAATTAGTATAGGGTGTCTGGTTGTTTATGCTATTAATGGCTCATGTACATTCTTGCCAGAAGAGAATCAAAATTTAAACTTTAATCCAACTGGACCAAACTTAATATCTGAGCCCTAATTAGTTGTTTTAAATTCTGGTGGGCTTGTACAAGACACTATCATCTCACTGTGAAGGTATAAACAAAACATACAATTGTATGAGTCTTCACCTTAAAATTAAGTACATTAGAGAAGTCTCTCTTGCAAAGTCACTTATTTTATATCCATGACTGGAATTTTTTCATACCAAATACTCAGATTGATCTTAAAACATATCTCTGATAATTAATAGTCAATGCACAACTTAAAGCCACTATCAAGTTACTTCATTGTATACAGGAAATTTTACTGTCTTCTGCCTTCCCCTTATTAAGAGCACTTTCATCAACCTAATAAAATAAAATTTGGTCCAGATTCTTGTGGTTAATCATAAATATGTCTGTAACTGATCTGTTCAGAACACTTCCTAGCAATATCAGGAATTTCACTCAGTCTTGAGGATAACTAAAGAATTGAACTCTTTTTGCGAGACCTATTTAGTCAGTCACCTGAATTGGAATAAAACTACCAACATCTCCTGAACAAAAAATTTTAATGCAGTCTTTCTGGCTAGCCATTTCCTTTTAGTCCTAATTCTGGATACTTCCCAGATTTTCTAGGGAGAAGTGGACAGAATACTTATCAATCTGGAAATGTTGGAACCTGTAGAGGAATTTAATAGCTTCTCTTGCTTGGGGTTTGAAGTGGTTTCTTTTCATTAGACTCTCAAAAATAAAATTCTAAAGCCCTAGAGTGTTTTAAACTTCAAGTTTGTTATGCAGTCTGTTAGTTTTGATCTCTTTGCATAAAGATCCTAAAATGCTATCTTCAGTTTTGGAATATAGATTTTTGTTTTTCAAGTAGTGTCCCTATGGGTACTCCACTGTAGATGTATCTTCACCCCTACGCCTCTGATCGGAGATTTTAGGTAGCAGTGTCCATTCAACCCACACGTGCGCTGTCTCTCTCCCTTGTGGTCTGCCTCAAGGCTGTCTAGCGCAGTGCGAGGGAACCCCCCTCAGTTCCTTCCTTTGACCTCAAACTGAACGAGCAGTTGTCCCTTCTTTATCTGCATCATTAGCATAAGTAGTAGTTGTTTTAGGTTCTTTTGTTCTTAATAGTTAGTGTTTCATTACCCTGTTGGGTAAAAAAAAAGGAGAGAGGTTTAGTTTACATTTTCCCCCTTTTTTTTTGAGGATCCGCCTCTTCTCTCAGGGTATTTAGAAGACATTCAAACTTCTTTCAAATTTAAAAAAAAAAAAAAAAAAGGAAGGAAGGAAGAGGAAGAAGAGGAAAGAACATCTTTCTTCTGTATTTTTCACTGTTAGAGAAAATGCTCAGCTCTCCTAGCTTGAAGAGGTGCCTTTCCTGCAAGGAGTTGATTCCAGTAATGGACGGACAGACTCTCTCACTGTGTCTGAGGTAGTCCCATTTCCCTCAGAAGCGCTCCCTCTGCCAGCAGCTAAAGGCAAGGTTTCGTAAAAACCGGGAGCTGAAGTTAAAACTCCTCCTTATGAAAACGGCACTTAAGCCAAGAGGAGACTCTGGTGCCAACCCTGGATCGTCCCCTGAGCCTTCTACTTCAAAAGGGGTAGAGTCGCGAAAAAACCCACAGACTCCTCCTCCTCTCCCCTTGAGCTCAACAAAAAGGGCTCCCAGGTCTCAAACCAAGCTATGGACCAGCTAGAGGGGTTCCCCAGCACGATTGGCCATTATGGCACCAGCAGCTCCAAAGTGTAGTACCCAGAAGGGGGCCTCAGCTATGAGCTCAGCTGCACCGTGTAGAGACCCCAAGGGCTCAGGTTCTGAGGCAGCAGTACTGCCCCTAAGGAGGAGAACAATTACTGTACCGTCTCTAAAAGAGCAGCACCGAGTAAACCTTCAGTACCGGGTATGACAAAGCTCCTGTGTGTGGAAAGCTCCGTGCATTTACAGCAATCGGTACCAACAATATGCCACAGACAGTCCACTGCGGAGGAAGACCTAGTGAGCCAACAGTACTGCAAGAGTTCTGGTACCCTAGAAACCTGAAGGTCAGGGAAGAACCACAATCTTCATTACTTGGTACTGCGGCCTTGGTTCCAATTGCATCCTGGCTCCTAGAATTGCCCTCAGCACTGGGCTGTGTACTGCCAATATCCCAGTCAGTGCCAGCCTTATCCTGTGCTGAGTTGGAAAGTGACCAGGAGGATGTCATTTTCCTGGCCTCTTACCGTGGCCTGCTGTCACTATACAAGGGGCCTCCCCATTTCCTTTGAGCTGAACTGCAATCATGGTATGGGCTTCCTTGGGCACCCCCACTACCCATGTCCTTTCCTTCCTAGTGGCCTTATTCGGATCTTTGGGTGATGTACGCAACCCACAAGCTGAGTGCATACAGTGTGTCTCAGAGAGAGTTCACCAAATGGTCCCCTACAGCCTCACTGTCCAGAGCTCCTGAGCCAGAGGTGGAGGAAACTTTTGAAGACCAGGAGAAAAGGCTCAAAGGGGAAGCTACCCTACAGCAAACTTCTCATCTTTCCCAGATGAGTCTGTAATGCCTCCCCCTCCATCACTAGGTGATGATTATAAGAACTTTCAGGATCTTGCCAAGAGAGTGGCAGATGAGCTGCAAATTCCCCTGCAGGAGATAACAGACATGCATCACAAGCTGGTGGATATTCTCCATGCTGCTTTCTTGTCCAAAAGTGCCTTCCCAATTAATGAGGTGATTCTAGATCCTGCCAAAGTCATCTGGTCAGACACCAGCCTCCATCGCATCAACCTGCAAGAGAGCCAACAAGAAGTACTACATCCCTCCCAAAAAGGCAGGCTTTGTTTCAACATTCGCAACCCAACTCGATTGTAGTGGATGCGGTTAATGCATGGCAAACATCATGCCAAGTCGACCCCATTCAATTGGGATTGGAAGAAGCTCGATCTCTTTGGGAGGAAGGCATATTCGTTGGCGACATTGCAGCTTAGAGTCATGAACTACCAAGCTGTCAAGGCCAAATATGGTTTTATTAATTATGGAAAACACAATGAGTTTGTGGAACATCTGCCTGAGGCACAAAAGGATCAGTTTCAGGCCTTTGTCAGAGAGGGCCATTTAGTAACTAGAACTACCCTACGGATACTGGATGTGGTCGATACAGCAGCCTGCTTGGTCTCTAAGGTAGTGAAAATGAGGTGGGCTTCCTGGTTACACCTTTCAGGGTTGTCCAAAGAACTGCAGACAATGGTGGAAGATCTCCTGTTTGAAGGGCCCAAGCTCTTGGCGGATAAGACAGACTCCACTCTCCGCACCCTGAAGGATTCCTGGGCCACATTATGCTTCCTGGGAATCTACACTGCGGGACAAAAGAGAAGATATAGCTCTCAACCACATCACAGGTCACAACTTCTTCAGAACCCACCCTCAGTGCTATTATGAATCTTATCGCAAAACGTCCAGAGTACAAAAGTGGAAGCAGTCAGCACTCCAATCTGCGTCCCTTCACCTCTCCTCCACTGAGCACTTTTGACAGTTTGGTTGAGGGCCCGAACAGTTATTCCTTGCAATATCAGCTGCTTTCTATGCACCTGTCATGTCCCTTCAGAAGTCACTTGGCCCTCTTTCACAACAGTTGGAAGAATATCACCTCTGACAGATGGGTCTCGGAGATTATTTTTAAGTGTTACGCCATTCAATTCACATTCCTCCCTCACTTCTATCTCCCTTCCCCGTCCCTCTTCAGGGACCCTTCTCACGGGAATCTACTTCATCAGTAAATAGATCTGTTACCCTTTAGGGCCACTGAACCCAGTCACTGTCTGGGGTCAGTACGATTTTCTGTATGTTGAGTTGCAGGCCCAGCTGCCCAAATGTGCACATGGTCACCTGGATGGCTTGTACTGCGTCCTCGAATGAAGGAGCCCTGAGGAAGCACTCGTCCAGATACAGGTAGATAACAATATCCAGTGTTCGCAGGTGTGCTGCTATGACAGAGAGAACCCTGGAAAATATCCTGGGTGCAGACGAGCGGCTGAATGGGAGCACTCTGTACTGATGATAGTCCTACCTAAAGGTTAAACCATAGGAATCTCCTGTGCAATGGTTGTATTGAGATGTGGAAGAAGATATCTTGTAGGTCAAGAGCCGAAAACCAACCTCCTTGCTCTAGAGCTGGAATAATGGCTGCAGGGGTGACCATATTGAACTTCTGCGCCTTCACATATTTGTTTAGTGCCCTTAGGTCTAGAATAGCCTGCCAATCTCCCTTCATTCTCAAAAGTGAAGGGAGATTGGAAATAATGGGACAGACAGTACAATCTTTGTTTTACATAAATTGCCAGGGGGTGCCAGATCTCCCTCCCTCTGCATAGAGGCACTCAGCTGGTGCTTTGGAACTGGTGCATCCATCACAACGTGCTCATATCAGCCTTCTACTTACTAGAGATGCAGAATGTGACAGCTGACAATCTCAGGCAGAACTTTTCTCAAGACGACGAATGGGAACTGAACTTAGAGGTGCTTCGCAACATATTTGCCCTTCGGGAAACCCCAACTACAGATCTCTTTGCTACTTTGCTGGCACAAGAAATGTCCTCATTAATGCCGGAGCCATCAGGGGGAAACATTCACTGGAAGAAGCCCTCATCCTCCCATGAGACATTGACCTCTTGTATGCCTTTCCCCTGTTTCCTCTTGTATCCAAAGTCTTGTTGAAAATGCAACAAGATAAAGTGAGAATTATTCTGATTGTCCCCTCTTGGCCAAGACAAGTCTAGTTCTCTTACCTGGCACAGATGGCAGTACGTCCTATGGTTCCTCTTCAGCTCATTCCTCACCTTTTCTCTCAGAGCATCAGGCGGATCCACCATCTCCATGCTTTTCTCCTTCTTGGTTCCAAGACTTAGAGGTTGAATGCTCTGATGAGGTGAAAGATTGTGTTGCTACACAGCCGAAAGTCAACCACTTGACATACTTACCTATAAAAATGGAAATGATTCAAAATTTGGTGTCATTCTAAGCACATAGACCTGGCCTCTTCCTCCCTCTGTTTTTATATTACATTTTAGACTTCAAAAGGTCAAAACTTTTGCTCAGCTCCCTTAAGGTACACCTCGCAGCCATAATGGCCTTCCATCATCAAGTAGACAGATACTCTGTGTTCATACCTGCTGATACATAGATTCCTTAAGGGCATTGGGAATATCTTCCTGCATGTGAGACCACTTGCTCCAACCTGGAATCTTAACCTAGTTCTCAGACCTCTGACTAGATCTCCCTTAGAGCAAGTCGCCATGGACTCATTCTTACACCTGTCCATGAAGACAGCATTTCTAATTACTATTGCCTCAGCTAGGTGCATAGGAGAAATAGCAGCCCTGATGACACATGCACCATTCAAGAACTTTTTTAAAGATAAAGTAACTGAGGCCACATCTCAAGTTTCTACCTAAAGTTGCCTCCACTTTCCATATGAATCAACAGATCCATCTCCCTGTTCGTTTTTCTCAAATCACATTGTGACAACAGGGAGGCGATTCTGCATATACTAGATGTTAGAGCACTAGCGTTCTACTTGGACAGGACTAAGGACTTTAGGAAATCCCCTAAGCTCTTCCTTTTGTTTGTGGTAAGAGCCAAAGGTTCTGCAATATTGCCTCAAAGACTATCCAAATGGGCCTCTGGTGGCATTCATCTCTGTTATCAAGGGCACAACCTGTTGTCTCTGTCTGGAGTCCATATGGACTCCATGAGGTCAGTTTCTACCTCAGTTGCATTCCTTAAAGATGTCCCTAACTCAGAATCTATAGAGCAGCAACTTGGGCCTCTACCCACACTTTCGCAGAACATTATGCAATTGCTGGAGATTCGGCCTCTGATGCCATCTTCAGCTCATCGGTTCTCTCTGTAGTAACAGACTTCACTCTGACATCCTAGCCCTCCAGGAGGGATACTGCTGTGAAGTCACCTAGAGTGGAGCACTCATAGGGATACTACTCGAAGAAGAGGAGGCAGTTACTCGTCTTGTACAATAATTATGGTCCTTCGAGATGTCTCCCCCTGTGGGTGCTCCACTACTTGCCCTCTTTACTTCAGAGTTCTCAATATGGGGCTCTGCAGTAGAGAAGGAACTGAGGGGTTTTTTCCTGCATGTGAGACTAGATGGCTTCGAGACAGACCACAAGGGAGGGACAGTGCATGTGCAGGCTGAACTGCTACCTAAAATCTCCGATTAGAGGTGGCAGGGGCACAGATGCACCTACAGTGGAGCACCAATAGGGAAACACATCTCGAAGAACCATCATTACTGCACAAGGTGAGTAGCTTTCTCCTCCCAGAATGTCACTTATTTTAATAACTATTTAGGAAGTTTTAACAGGTGTATAAATCATTGTCATGTAAATATCAGAACCAGAACAATCATTACAACCGTGAGCTTATTTTTTGTTTAGAGAAACATTTACTGACAATGGCACTTTTTTTAAATCACTTTTCTGATTGTCTGTACTTCAGAGGTCTTAAAAGGACAGTCTGTTATTTCAAAGTGCATAACATAACTATAATACCTCTTTGTGCAAGGATGATCTCAGTGCATTATAGAGAATAAAATCAACACCCCTGTGAAATAGCCAAGAAATTGTATTTAACAGTTAAACTGAAGTAGTTTATACAACTTGTTCAAGATCCCATAGCAAGCCAGTGACTGTCAGAACCCAGGTTCCTGACTGTTCCTATTCTAACTAGGTGACACACTCTGTTCTTTCATGCTGATCAGAATCTCTTCCCATCAGATTCTTATGATATATTGATCTTTACCTTTATGGACTAGATTCAATTTTCTGGAGTGTATATAACACTGAGTGTCTTTCATTTGACTTCAGCATGACTTAAACAATTTTAGCCTCACAATATCCCGGTGAGATAGGTAATTATCCCCATTTTATGGAAGGAGAAACTGAATCCCAAACTAAGTGACTTGTCTAATGTCATACAAAAAGACTCTGGCAGAGCTGGAATTAAAAGTATGTCTCCTTACTTCCAGACTGGAGTGTCTTCATCCTTGTGCTGTAGTTAGAAGTTCTAATCATATTTTTTTAGAGGAATGAAGTTACTTATTTGTAAGTAGAGTTCTCAAACACTTTCTTCTTTTGTTCATTTTAACTGCTTGTGTTAGTGGTGTGTGTGTATATATAGCACTTGAATTGTATATGCCCCACCATTGTAGAACAAGCAAGTCTTATTCATTAATCCAAGAGTTTATTCCTTTGTTCTTCAGGGAACTCTGCTTACAGGTAAGTCTCCTTTCTATTCTAAAGATGCCAAACTGACCTTTTTTGAACAATGTTCAAAAGTGTTCTCTAGGCAAAGTACTTTTGCTACACGGAACAGAATTATTAGGCCATCTGCCAATAATTACCGGTATGTCATGCTGGCTGTGGTTTGGAGTTAATCAAAGAATGAATTATTTAAACCAAGTGCTTTGCCTTGTTAAGAACTTCTGTCTCTCAAAACAAATACAACTGTTAAAAATAAGTGGACAGTGTGGTGTTGTGGTGACTGAAGTATTTTATGAATTCATAGCTCAGACTGGAAGCCTATTCATAATATTGTAGTTCAGAAGAAAACTGTCTTTGGAGAATTGGGAGGTTTACATTATTTTATTGGCTACATATCTCTACTGGAAACTTGCAAACTATCTCTAATTATGTCATATTCTTAAGAATGTTACTACTTTACAAGTCCCATATTTTGCCTAGAAACCCTCTTCCTTTTGTGCCTGCAAGAGAGTACCTCAAACATCATAACAAACCAAAACTAAAGGCCATTTAGTGTGATGTAAGAGCAATGATCCTTGGCTGGTTTAAAACCGTGTAGTCAAGGTGATGAATGTGATGTCATGTATGTGTTCTACAACTGGATGAGATCTATCAAAGACTGTAGGAACATTTTATGTTTAAACTATTGCATGACTTAGACCTTTTGCAATTTCAGTAAACACCCTTAAGTTACTAGCAGTATTGCATCTTTAAAAAATATAAATCTTTATTAGTTAAAACCCAGTCCTGCAGATTTGTGCCCCTTCTTGGGTCCATGCAGACTGTTGCTGCTAAAATAATCTTCCTGTCAAGTCATTCTGGCCACAGCACTCTTTTTTTTTTTTTTTCTTTTCCCTTTGAATCCCTCTTCTGGTTTCTTCTTCTCCACTGATCAGTTATAATCTGTTCCTTGCCTTTAAGGCTGTACATGATGATGTAGCACCTCCTCTGTTTATCTGCTCTTGTAGCTTATTGCATTGTCCATGTCTAATGATGCTAGGCTCCACCACTTATTTGTCAGTTTCTTGCATAAGCAGCTTCATGCTTTATTCCCCGCTACCCCTTCCTTATTGAGAGAGCCACTATCCACTGCTTCAGATCCCTCCTCAAGACCCACTTCTGCTATGATGTCTATGGAAAATGGCCAATCTGGAGGCTGGTGGAAATATGGAGATCATATTTTTGTGTGCATATAATATTGTATTAAATATAGTTCATAAGCAGCAACTTGCAACCTACTGATTGTGTATCTAACTAATTTGCAACCATATGCCCCTATTATTATTTTAGTTGTTCCCTCCCTCTGCTTTACCTCCTTCGTTTGAATTGTCAAGTGTTGCCTAAAAGAGAGATTAATAAACTCTGTGGGGTAGGAACTATCTCCTTCAAGTTTGTACTGCATCTATATCACAATGGGGATCCAACCCTGATTGTGACCTCCAGCAGATACAAATGATGACAAATTGGTATAGTATATTCACTTGTGGAACACCAAATTCACAACAGCTACATTCACTTCTTGAACACTCATTTTACTGTTGTATTTTTCTGAATAAATTTAATCTGTTAATTTCCTATGTCTACTTTATCACTGAATCCACCTAAAAAGGTGGTGATAAGCTAGTTTTAAGGCTAGTGGAATTCTGTTAAGATCACAAGAAAACAGATTTGGTTCAAATATTCTGTTTTACTTTTTTAAACAGTATTAAGGCTTAATAAAAACTAGACTGTATTATTAATAGCTTTTCATATTTTATTTGGAGACTAAAGTTTAAGATGTATTGTACAGGTGGCACACTAATGCACTACTAAGAATGATTTACATGCATTGGTGACATTGGTAATTTAAATATCCTTTAGTCAGTATCTTTCTATCGATAAGGCAGATGACAAAAATGTATTGCTAAATGTCAGCAACATGCTATTTAGTGTCATATGATGCACAAGGGAACTCTTGTTAGGGTAACTCCCATTATACTAGAAGTTTCAGGGAGAATGCTCCCTTTTTAACCCATATCAGAAAAGCAAGTTAACAGATGTTAATACTGTCTACACTATGCTGGAATAGCCACTTAGTATAGACTACTGACAGAAGGGACACCCATCTCCCAACGTTGTTAGCTATGTTAACAGAAGCACTCTTCTGCTGGCATAGCTGTTCCTGCACTGGAGGTTTTCATACCCCTCACCAACGTAACTATGCCAACATGAGTTTGTTTAGACCAAGCCACTGTGTGTAAACTTTATGTAGCTTCTTGAACACCAAGAGAAGTAAGGCATAAAAGTATTGCATGTCTAAATGATTAAGTGAAACAAACTGCAAATGGGGCTTCCTTGGCTTGCAGATTTTCCCAGGAAAAGTTTGATAAATATCAAACTTGTTGGGAGGAAGGCTGTTAATCATAGTTTTCTATCTGTACTTTACTAAATACTCTAGTATATTTGCTTTTAGGCTCATGTTCTTATGTTTATGGTAGCTCAGACTTTAACATTATCAAATCAGTATGCTTGGTCTTTACCTGTGGTTAACGGACTAAGTTAAGAGGCAAGGCCTAAGAGTAACCTTTAGGATCCTTAGATTTTTCCTTAGCAAAGTCTCATTGCATCAAAATCAGTATATAGAATTAGAAATGCATGTGTAACTAACCTTCAGCAATAGTACAGCAACCTAGTATCTTCAGAACTTCCATTTAGCAATGTGCTTTTTTAAAACTTTCTCACTGAGGAGTGCAACACTTCCATTTAAACAAATCTGAAGCAACTGAGAGTTGTCATAAATTTATTCTTAACAGATACTTCTATTTTAGATATTGTTTTGAACAGAATACTCTTGCAAAACTAACATAACTCAGGTACAAAATCTTTCTTGGCGTTTACCGTGATTGATAAAGAGAACAGTCTTGTTCATGAATCCAAAATAAAAATTGTTCACATAAGGTGAGTGGAGTTACAGGCCTGAGATGTCAAGATCTTTAAGTACTACACTTTGGAAGGAAAAATCAAATGCAAATAAAGAACTGAAATAACTGACTAGGCAGCAGTATTGCAGAAAAGGATAGTGGATCACAAATTGAATAAGTCAACCATATGATGTTACCAAAAAAAAAAGGAAGTATCATTCTGGAATGTGTTAACAAAAGTGTCATTTGTAAGACATAGGTGGTGATTGTTCTGCTTTACTTGGCAATCTCTGTCCACTTTTGGGCACCACACTTTAAGAAAGATATGAACTAATTAGAGGAGACTCTGGAGGACAGCAACAAAAATTGAGGTTTGGAAAACCTAACCAATGAGGACAGCTTAAAAGAATTGGTCATGTTTAGTCTAGAGAAGAGAAGACTGAGGGGGGACAAGTCTTCAAATATAGAAGGTATTAAGGTAGAAGTATTAATTGGCTTAGGTTGCAGGAAGGAAAATGTAGGTTGGATATTAGAAAAAATTACCAAAGTATAAGGATAGTAAAGCACTGGAACAGTTACCTAGGGGAAGGCTTGGAATGCCTATCTGTGTAGCAGCTTCAGAACAAGTTAGACAAGCATCTGTTGTGGATGGTCTATATATACTTAATGCTGCCTCAGCATGAGGAGATGAACTAGAGCCAGGAATTCTCAACCCTTTTCTTTCTGAGGCCCCCCCCAACATGCTATAAAAATTCCACATCCTGTCTGTGCCATGACAACTGTGTTTCTCCATATAAAAGCCAGGGCCAGTGTTAGGGGATAGCAAGCAGGGCAATTGCCCGGGGTCCCATGCCACAGGGGGCCCTGTGAAGCTAAGTAACTCAGGCTTCAGCTTTCTGCCCTGGGCCCCAGCAAGTCTAATGCCGGCCCTGCTTGGCGGACCCCCTGAAACTTGCTCGTGGGCACTGGACCCCTGGTTAAGAACCACCGAACTAGATGACCTCTTGAGGCCCTGTCCAAGTCTACATTGCTATAATTCTACAATTTCTAAAAATTGCAGCAATTACTTGATACTAGCAGGTTATCTGACCTCCCCTTCTCCATGCTGTTTTATTGGCTACATTCCAATACATGTACTATTTTGTTGTATCTACCTTTTCCACGTGAAAATTTGCATTCCCTTTTATTAAACTGTCACTCATAGCCATAACTCAAGATTACTTCTAGTGAAAGTGATAGATTGTTTTGTGTATGTCATTTTCCAGTACCATCTCCAAGTAAATTCCGCTCCCCTGCGGCACCATCACCTCTGGCTCTCCGACAGCCAGTGAAAGCATTTAGTAACCATGGACCTGGTTCTGCTGCTGCTCCTCCAGAAGCTACACAACTGACACACAGCAGTTCTTCACCAGGGCCTCTTGCAGCTCAGAATTCAGGCTCTCCAAGCCCTGCCAGCAGTATCAATAGTACTACTCTTACCAGACCAGCAGGGACAACAGGGGTGAGGAGTGGCTTGCCTAGACCAAGTGCCCCTTCTGCTGGGGGCATACCAGTGCCTCGTAGCAAACTTGCACAGCCTGTTCGCAGGTGAGTAATCTGAGGGAGGATTTTAAGTTCTGTATTCAGAAACTAACACTTTCCTTAACTCTATTTTTGTATCTTGTACATTACTACAGAAGGCTAGAGTAACTATTAACTTTAAAAAAGAATGGGAACATATAAAGATAACCCAGGCCTACTGTACTAAATTCTGCATAGTCCATTCTCCTGTCATAATAAATGATACTCCCTTCCACCCCTGCAAAAAGAGTTTGTATCAGATGTAAAGCTGATAGTATACTTGGATTGTATTACTGAATGTAGTTTAGAACTGAAGTTCTTTAATTTTAAAAGTGAGTATTTATCCACACAGACAGACCCACACATTAAAGGTACTTCCACTAGACAGTTACTTTCAGAAATGAGTAAAGAAGTAAAAGGTAAATTCAAAAGCAGTGTTCAAGTTTAGAAGATAGATCTTTTGGTGCATTCTGCTAAACAAAAAATTTTCATCTGCTAAACAATTCAAATAAATCATGTGAAATACATTAAGATGTCCATAATGATGCTCGTAAAGTAGTTCAGTCCTTAAACCTGTTTTTTATTCTGCAGTGAATGTGCAGTTCTGTTTACTATTATGTAAGTTCAGATGCCAGTCGTAGTTAATTGTTTGAATAGAAACAATGTGTTCAGAGACTTGTATTCAGTTCCAAGTTATCAACTATCGAGCCCTTAAAAGGAATGGGCAATCTATGCAGATTTTATTAATACTTGGCTCTTTTATGGAGCTTTTCTTAAATCATCTCAAAGTGCTATACAAACAGAGGAAACCTCACGTACAAAGAGGAAGTAATTGCCCAAGTTTTCACAAAGGTCAGTGGCAGAATTGGAACCAAGAACTGAGATCTCGACTTGTAAGTCCATTGTCCTCCCCAACAGGCCACACTGCCTTAAGTGAAATACTGTAGTGATTTAGATATTTAGGAAGAGGAACACACCTCAGCTGTTTTTGCTTATTTCTAAAATCTGTGGTCAGGGTGCACAGGTCTCCTCACATGTGTGTTAGAAAATAATTTAATTACCTGTCTTGCTGAAAATACATTTCTGCTACTGGGTACAATGGAAGTGAAGTGTCAGACTGTGTTAGTCTGTCTTCAGTATTTATTTAACAATCTTAAAATGTAATAAAAGGCTGCCTTATTTCTGACTGCAAACTCTTAATACTAGTCTTAACAGTCTCTTCTTAATGGCTCAGTCACTATTGCATAACTGATCTCACTTTACAGCAAGATGTCCATCCCCCTTACCTAATCAAATGTTTATTGTATCTACACTTTAAAATTATTTTAGTGTTTTTATGGTGAGAAGGTGATTTTCTTTTTGAAATTTTGTATTACTGGGCTGAACAAAATGGATGGAGTTGTCCTTTCATCAATAAGGTTTTGCCTGCTTTACTGTAAAACAGATGCATGTCATCAGATCAGATTCAAAGTTCCACAGTGTGTAGTTTTATGAAGTTCTCTACATTTAACCATTTACATATGACTAAACACTGTATTAAAAACAAAAGGAGTACTTGTGGCACCTTAGTCTCTAAGGTGCCACAAGTACTCCTTTTCTTTTTGCAAATACAGACTAATACGGCTGCTACTCTGAAACCTATATTAAAAATGTAAGTTGTCAAAATATAAAATGTTAAACCTTGAACTTAGTATTTATTTTTTTAAGTGCAATGTAATACAATGATGCTTCTGAAACAAAATGATTAAAGCACGTAGTTTAGTTTTCAAGAAAAGAGAATTCTACTCTTATGTTAAGTTCATGTATGTTAATGATTTGAAGCTTGAACAAATGAAGTATAAACCAAACTGAAATAAATCTCATTTTATTTTAGATCGTTACCGGCTCCTAAAAGCTATGGCAACATGAAAGACGAGAGTTGGAAAGATGGCTGCTACTGAACTGCAAAGCTTAAAAATGCAAAGTTCAATAGTTAATGGACACTCCTTCACCAAGCTAAAAGACAGCTTGATATGCAGACTGTTCAGATGGTGACTTTCAGGATTTGTAAAATCCCAGACCTCTGTCTTTAATTAGCACAAACTGGCAGAGATTTTAAAGCAGCACTTTAATGACATTTAACATCATATATTTGGTGATCATACAATCACTTTTACATGGAATCACTATCATTTCTAGGGTTTTTTGGTTTTTTTCTTGCTTGCTAAAAATTGTCAATTTGAGCATTTATGACAATGGCCAATGTTTGGACAAAAAACCTAACAAATGCCAAAGAAATGCCCATCTTGAAAAACAGCAAGTAAAATAGAAAACTCCAATTGTTCAAAACTTCATATTGAGGCATTTAATTCGGCAGAATGATTCATTGATGAATATGTACTATTTAAACATTAGCATGTTAATCAGAGCCAACATTCTGATTGCGGATCACTATAGTGCTAATGAAACACCTGCTTAAAACAATTGTAGAAGGTTCTGGTTGGAAAAAGTGGTACATATATCCTTCAGAAAGAATCCAGCAGTTCTCTCTGGAGGTATCCTAGAGTTGGTAAATAGTAGTAATGGCATTGTTTTATCATTAAAGGTTTGGATGTAGCAGACATACACACATTCAGATACTGTAGGTTGCATCCTTTTTGTTTGTTTGACATATCGGTTTTATGTGCTCTTATATTTTGATTGCCAAAAGGGCTTAGTATCAGTTGTACAATCGTTCTAAACCTTATAGTTCCTGGCTCAGGAAAGATGGCCTTTGCTATAGTACCACACTTTTAGCACACTGCTCACTATTTAGGGAAACCTTTTTTATAGCAGGTTTCCTTAAAAAGGAAAGAGCAGCTAGTAGTATCCATTTGTTCTGATATCATCACACCACAATGCTTATAGCCTGGAACACAACTGTATATGCTAATAGTTAATGAGAAGGAAAGACAACTATGCACTTGTAACATACAAATTGTAAGGAAATGAGTTGTATTGTTGATGCCAAATGATATTCATTTAAGTAATATTTCATGGTATGAGGAAGTTTTCTGTATCCTACTTTTTACTTTTATCCATTTCTTAAATTGGTTTATTTTAAATTGTAAATATTTTTGCAGATGATATTGCCCATGTTAGTGTTTTAACTATGTACTTTGCCTTACATATCTGTATCTTACCTTGTTTGGTGACAGAGTATGAAATCTGCTACATATGTTTACAAACTATTAAATTCCTCTAGTGGCTCTCAGACTTACCTATTGACATTTACATTGTTTTCACCTATTAGCAATCTTGCTAACATTTTACTCAGTGGAAAAATTCTTTCTTACAATTAACATACAGACTGCTTTTTCTGTTCTATTTTCGAAGATTTGTAATATAAAGGTTTAAAACTAAAAATGTGTTGGGAGGGTCAGTTAAACAGGGAGTACTGTTTTTTGCGTGTAGAATTTTTCAGTACAAGATTTCTGGATGTGTAGTTTGCAGCAATGGCTAACGTGATGGTATCTTTTGTACAATGACTGGAGAACACTAAAAGCTTTACATTGGATTGGATGGTAGGTAGCTTTTAACCCCATTAGTACCAGCACTTTGAAGTGTAAGTGCATTTTGACTCCCACCACTAAGAGGATAATTGATCCTGGAATTCCAGAGAACTCTGGACTTTGGAGCCAGTGTTAACATTACTGGATGAAAAGCCATGCAACACTACTTGAGATGGGAAAAGCCAAACAGAAAATTTTAGGGACTAGACTGTAACTGTAACTACTCAAGCAGCTGCAAGCACAACTTGTATCAATAATGAAAAGACTTCATACCATGGTGACTAAGATCTCTCAAGTGTGACTACCCTCTGAAGTCAGGGCATCAAATATACTGTAATTCAGTAGGAAAACTGCAGCAGGGGTTATAAAAGAGCTACCTTGCACTATTCGACCAGTACATGCTACTGATCTAGCCTTCAGTCATTTGCTGGCATAGAAAACGTATTCCGTTAGTGGTATCTCATGTAACTAGTATGAGGAACAGAAGATTGGATCAAAACTAACCAGCCTCACTAACAAAGCCCAAACATTGCTTTAAAATGTTACAAAGCAATGCTGCAGTCTTCAATAAAAGAGAAGGAATTTTAATTGGTGATTTTTATTATGAAAATATTGAATTGACTTTTTTTAGTTTTGAAAATCAGAAAATTCAGATGAAGATATTCAGGTTAATTTTTTAAATAAAGGCTGCATCAGAGTATTGTTCATTGTTTATTTTTTTAAATTCCAGCAATTACCTTCATCACTTATTGAAGGTATGTTGTGCTTAAGTTACATAAGCATCCTTTTATCTGCTGTTCTGCTCCCACAGAAATATAGCTAATAATTTCCTGAAAAGAGACAGTCTGTTTACTAGGAAGCCTTTGTGCAGTACCAGTTTCTCAATATCAGGAAATCCTAGATCTTTCTGTGTTTAGAGATTCAGATATATTGCGGAAGTGTGGAAATATGGATTTGATAAACTAGTGCCTATGATTTTACTTAATTTATGTTTGATATAGTAGTAAGGGTTTTATGAATGTGGATTTTTTTTGTGCCAACAGCTTGGAATTGTCATATGTATGTAGGCAGAAAGACTTGAATTCTGCTTCCAAAGTTATTTAATTTTTCTGTGTTTGAATGTTTTTGTGTTAATAAAAATGTAAAAATGGGAAAAATATAAATAATTCTTACCACAAAGCACTTTTCTTGTGGATCGTTTTTCTATAAAACCTATTTGTTTGAAAGTTTCAACTCTCTCGAGAGCATTCTAGAAGTGTATGAAGTTGCCAAACTCTGGAAATCAGGTTGTAAAATTGGGGATTAATAGTTTACTTTCTTAAAAATTAACTTTAGATTTCAGTGGTTCAGTAACTAGTCCTATTGCTTATTGGCTCTCTTAATTAATGTATTGAGTCTAATTAGTTATATATTTGGCCCCAGTCCTGTTCATCTGTCATTTTAGTACAGAAGATTGAAATTAGACTTCTATTAAATGTGAAGGCCTCTGTTTTTGACCTTATGCATTGTCCTTTCAGATCACATGAAACTGGATTCAGATATTTATCCAGCCTGAATTGTGCCCATGCAGGTCCAGGTCCAGATAAATGATCTGGAAAAAGGGGTAAACAGTGAGGTGGCAAAATTTGCAGATGATACAAAATTACTAAGGATAGTTAAGACCTCAGCAGACAGCAAAGAGCTACAAAAGGATCTCTCAAAATTAACGGGGCGACGGGGCAACAAAATGGCAGATGAAATTAAATGTTGATAAATGCAAAGTAATGCACATTGGAAAGCATAATCCCAACTATACATATAAAATGATGGGGTCTAAAATTAGCTGTTACTACTCAAGAAAAAGATCTTGGAGTCATTGTAGATAGTTCTCTGAAAAGATCCACTCAATGTATAGCGGCAGTCAAAAAACCGAACAGAATGCTGGGAATAATTAAGAAAGGGCTAGATAATAGGACAGAAAATATCATGTTGCCTCCATATAAATCCATGGTACGCCCACATCTTGAATACTGTGTGCAGATGTGGCCGCCCCATCTCAAAAAAGATATACTGGAATTTGAAAAGGTTCAAAAAAGGGCAGCAAAAATGATTAGGGGTATGGAACAGCTTCTGTATGAGGAGAAATTAATAAGACTGGGACTTTTCAGCTTGGAAAAGAGATGGATAAGGGGAGATATGATTGAGGTCTATAAAACCATGACTGGTGTAGAGAAAGTAAATAAGGAAGTGTTGTTTACTACTATGCATAACACAAGAACTAGGGGTCACCAAATGAAATTAATAGGCAGCAGGTTTAAGAGAAACAACAGGAAATATTTCTTCACACAATGTATGGTCAACCTGTGGAACTCCTTGCCAGAGGATGTTGTGAAGGCCAAGACCATAAGAGTTCAAAAAAGAGCTAGATAAATTAATGGAGGATAGGTCCATCAATGGCTATTAGCCAGGATGAGCAGGGATGGTGACCCCCCAGCCGCTGTTTGCCAGAAGCTGGGAATGAGCGATGGGATGGATCAGTTGGTGATTACCTGTTCTGTTCATTCCCTCGTGGGCACTTGGCACTGGCCACTGTCAAAAGACAGGATACTGGGCTAGATGGACCTTTGGTCTGACCCAGTAGGGCCATTCTTATGTTCTTCAATACATAGTGTGCCCTTAATTTTCACTGTTGAATTGGCAGTAAAACTTGTAGCTAGTGAACTTCCTTGAATAGTCCAGGTTGGCAAAAGATGTATCCAATTTCCACGCTGTGGAAGCCAATATCTTTTTAGTTAACCAGGTCCAAATTACATTAGAATTCTAAACATACGGAACCTTATGCACCAGGAGATGACTGTCCAGGACCTAACATTTATAAACCCAGGAAGTACATTGATTTGTATCTTTGCTGCTTGTTCCAAACAATCCTTTTTAATGTATTAACCACTTTATTCTGTTCTGCTCCACCTATTTGTGACTCCCTCTTCAACATACAGTTAAGGCTTCTTTCTGAGTTTGGGAATTTTCTCCATGTTATACATTCTGGTGCAGGTGAGCATACGTAAAACCCCATGTACAGTACAAGACCAAACTCTGCAGCAAAGTTAATTTACTGATGTACTGTTAATATCCTTCATTTGCATCTCACCCACAATTAAACATACTCACAATGATAGCTCATTTGAAAATACTCATTCTGGAGCAAAAATACTGAATTGGGTGGTATCTGGTGAAAAATGCCAAATTCCATTGCAGCACAGCCACCATAGCCAGAGCGCCCTGAGTATCATGACTGGAGCAATTTACATCTCAGAGCTGTTTCAGGCTCTTTGCAGATGCAGGGAATAAATCCAGTCAACATTTCAGAGATTTGCAACCATAAAACTAAAACTTAATTTTAAAAAATGAAAGTGGGTGTTCTGGATCACAATTCTGCTGCACTGTGGGTATATTTTGTTACAAATTCTGCAGTTATGCAATACAGGAACCCCAGGGTATATGCAAGTTCCCTTATAATGCCATCTTTTTACCTTGTTTCTGGCATCAGTATATGAAAAATCCTATATATTCCATCTTTTCTCCAGCACTGTACAAAAGTGTGATAAATCATTCATAATTTCTGCATCACACCAAAAACTCAGCTCATTTAGGTTGCCCTCAACACTTTTCTAGTTGTGTTTAAAATGGTGACTTAGAACTGTTGTACTGTCTTCCAACTATTGGAAGGGTTTATGATGCTGGACTCTACCTTCTATATGTTACACTCCTAATATCTGATTTATAGCCCACAGTTTGTTACTAAACTGCACAAACTCTTTATAGCCCTTTGGAGTACTCTAGCCACATTCCACTGAATAATTTTCCTATCCCTCTAATTGTGTCCCCTCAACTCATTTAGTCGCTTGATGTTGGATCTTCCTTCTTAGTGTTATATGAGGATTGTAAAGAAGTGATGATAACTCATACAGCATTCCCCACTTGCTAATTTTAACTCAGCATCCTACAAACTGGGTAGTTTGGGGGGTGGGGATTTTTATCTGTAGAATCAGGCTGGTTTAACACCTACCAGCTTCCAAAAATCTTAACATGCTGTCAAAAAACCAATCACCCACCTTATACTTAGTGGGGTACAATGCTAGATTTAAGAAACTGAAAGATAAAAATCAAGGACTTTGTTAAAACTGGACAGGTAATTGAATACCTCTCCCACTTTTATCTGGTCTGTGTTCTGTAACTTATGTATATAAACTAGCCATGGTTACCTTAATCTAGTATTTAGATACTGCATGGTGAAATACAAAAACACAGCGAAAACTACAGAAACAAGTTAATCTCTTATTTGAGGGGAATCATGGTAATTCTGTGCTTCCAGTAAAAACACTGGCCATTTATTTACACTTATCTCCAAAACTGAGTACTGCTATTTAGTTGAACAGCAAGGAGGAGGATGTATCCCATCCCTGTGATCGCACCTCTGCCTCCTCGTCAGTAAAGGCATTCTAAAATGTTTACTGTCCCTTTCTCATTTTTTACAATGAAAGTAGGTGTCTGTCTAGCTTTCCATAGAGTTGACCTGTTCCTGCATCTTACCATGGGTATGTCTACACTATGAAATTAGGTTGAATTTATAGAAGTCTTTTTTTAGAAATCAGTTTTATATATTCCAGTGTGCGTGTCCCCACAGAAAATGCTCTAAGTGCATTAACTCGGCGGAGTGCTTCCACAGTACCAAGGCAAGCGTTGACTTCCGGAGTGTTGCACTGTGGGTAGCTATCCCACAGTTCCCGCAGTCTCCGCTGCCCATTGGAATTCTGGGTTGAGATCCCAATGCCTGATGGGGCTAAAACATTGTCGCGGGTGGTTCTGGGTACATATCGTCAGGCCCCCGTTCCCTCCCTCCCTCCCTCCGTGAAAGCAAGGGCAGACAATCGTTTTGCGCCTTTTTTCTTGAGTTACCTGTGCAGACGCCATACCATGGCAAGCATGGAGCCTGCTCAGGTAACCATCACCATATCTCTCCTGGGTGCTGGCAAATGTGGTACGGCATTGCTACAAACCAGCAGCAACCCCTTGCCTTATGGCAGCAGATGGTACAGTAGGACTGGTAGCCGTCATTGCCATGTCCAAGGTGCTCCTGGTCGCTTCTGTGAGGTCGATCAGGAGCGCCTGGGCAGACATAGTCGCAGGGACTAAATTTGGAGTGACCTGATCAAGTCATTCTCTTTAGTCCTGCAGTCAGTCCTATTGAACCATCTTACGGTAAGCAGGCAGGCGATATGGATTGCTAGCAGTCCTCTTGTACCATCTTCTGCCGGGCAGGCAAGAGATGAGGATGGCATGCAGTCCTTCTGCACCGTCTGCTGCCAGTCAAAGCTGTAAAAGATAGATGGAGTGTATCAAAACAAGAAATAGACCAGATTTGTTTTGTACTCATTTGCAAACCCCCACCCCCCCGTCTAGGGGACTCATTCCTCTAGGTCACACTGCAGTCACTCACAGAGAAGGTGCAGCGAGGTAAATCAAGCCATGTATCAATCAGAGGCCAGACCAACCTGCTTGTTCCAATAAGAACAATAACTTAGGTGCACCATTTCTTATTGGAACCCTCTGTGAAGTCCTGCCTGAAATACTCCTTGATGTAAAGCCACCCCCTTTGTTGATTTTAACTCCCTGTAAGCCAACCCTGTAAGCCGTGTTGTCAGTCGCCCCTCCCTCCATCAGAGCAACGGCAGACAATCGTGCATCTGAGTTGAGAGTGCTGTCCAGAGCCGTCACAATGGAGCACTCTGGGATAGCTCCTGGAGGCCAATACCGTCGAATTGTGTCCACAGTACCCCACATTCGACCTGGCAAGGCCGATTTAAGTGCTAATCCACTTGTCAGGGGTGGAGTAAGGAAATCGATTTTAAGAGCCCTTTAATTCGAAATAAAGGGCTTCATCGTGTGGACGGGTGCAGGTTTACATCGACTTAACGCTGCTAAATTCGACCTACAGTCCTAGTGTAGACCAGGGCCATGAAGCTAAAGTCAATACTGAGACTGACTTTACAGTTTCAGGATTGACTTTACAGAGCAACTAATTGTGACACCAAACAAAAGATGACTGAGTTCTCCAGTTATCTGTTCCTCTCTTGAAGCTAGTCTTTTTAAAATTCAACTATCACTAACAGTGAAAAATGCAAGGATGTGGGGGATACATGCAAAGTAAAAAGTTTCTATAACTTCTCATCTTATCGTGCATGGCTTTGTTACAAAAATATTATCAAATTGCAGCTTATGCTTTTTGCAAGCATGAGGCAGAAACATTGAGGAAAATTTTTTGCATTTTATTTAGTACAACAGACTAAAAATATAATCAAGCTGTTGTTTCCCACTTCTAACCATAACTGTTGGGACTTGAAGCCTCGGAATGTGAAGATTTATTACCTGCCGAGTTGATGCTGATTTTTTTTTTTTCCTTCAGCAAACTATAATGTGTGCTTGGACCACATTCGAAGTGTTTAAGTTGAGTGATCACTTCTTAAGGAAATAGACACTTGGTACCTTCTTTTCTGGCAAGTATGTTGCAATAGGAGTCTATATTCTTCATTTTTGTTTTTCCTTCAGTGGGAGTTTCTGTTGGTCAAGCTGAATGGTCATACAGAGACAAGGTGGAGGAGGGAAGTGATGGGTTTGTTTTTTTCTAATTCTACATTAGTTTTCCTAATCTATCAGTTTGAATTTCCTAAAACAATGTTCCTTCCTGTGTTTTATAATTTAGATATATAAACTACTTCATGGTTAGCCTTGATTCTAAAGGAAGTTTCTGTACTAGGTATTGAAACACTGACAACAATTCAACTTTATGGCCAACAATCAGGTGTGACTGAAGTATGGGTTAATTCCAAAAGATGTAAACATTGGACCTATTTATATATTTATTTTTGAATATATTAAAATTTAAATGTTAAAAATAGGATGTTGACACTTCTTCCACTATATCAGGTTGCTTTCATTTAAAGTTAGAGGGCAAAGAATTTTCAGGTACTCTCAGTTGAGCACCTACTGCACACTTCGTGCTTTATACCCGTGTAATATTTAACATGCTCCTATACAAAAAGCTCGTCCAATGCTAGAGTGACATCTACGGGCAGTTTAGCTGTAATCTCTTTTCAAGAGGACACGTGTCTAGTTCAGTTGTGTCTAGATCAGGGGTTGTGACCCTATCGGGGGGGTCATGAAGTTATTGCATGGGGGGCGGGGGTCATGAGCTGTCAGCCTCCACCCCAAACCCTGCTTCGCCTCCAGCATTTATAATAGTGGTACTCTGAAAACTACTTTTTAAAGTGGTTTTAATTTCTAAGGGGGGGTCGCACGCAGAGGCTTGCTCTGTGAAAGGGGTCACCAGTACAAAAGTTTGAGAACCACTGGTCTAGATGGAATAAGTTTAAGGTCTACATCACTGTGACCCAAAAAAGCTATTCATTCATCCCTCAATCTTGCTGAATTCAGTATTTTCCCTATCTGTCCTCAACCTGTATTTAATGGCATTTTCAAACCCAAAGGAAGTTTCAGTACTGAATTTGAAGGCTTAGTTCAAGTTGCTCCACTACAATGTATTTATCAAATACTAAAATTTCATAATCAAATTCTAACATCATCTTTTCTCTTCTCCTCTCCCCACAAAGCTTTGTGAAAAGAAACTACCATCACACGACAATGCTACAATTTAGGGTGCAGCAGAGAAAAACATACTCCCCTTTCTTCCCACTTCACTATTCCAGGCTGGTGAAGCATATCTATTGGATGAGCTTTACAGGTTGGATGTCCAAGCCATCAAGTGACACCTTTGGTGTGAAATCAGTTTCCCTTTTCCTGATGAACCCCACCAAGACTTATTTTAAGGTGTTTTTTATTCGCTTTGACATCTTTGTCATGGGGCCTATGTAGCAGCGCCACCAGCTACTCCACCATCCACTGTTGACATGGGGGTTGATCTGACATTGCTTATTGAACATTTGCAGCTGTTCTACAGGATTATTATCTACAGGATGTTCCCCTATCCACCACCTAGGGATGTGCCTCATGGGAGCTGATTGCTCCTTCACAGGCAGAGAAAAACATACCAGTATCTTTTTCTTCCTGGTATGTTCAAATGAGAAATGCCTAGTGTAGGTTGCATACCACTCCTATCTGGAGACAATTATACCACTGAAATTTAGCTCAGGCCCATCAACTATCTGCACAGGTTCAGTGTGTGGAATTCACAAAGGGGACTTAGGCAGTCTGTGGCCTAGTGTAATTTACAACCCTAAGTTAGGTGCCTAAGTACAATATATGGAAAGTTAGGTGCCTAATGGAACTCTTACAAGCCAGCCAGCAGCTGCCTAATCTAGCTAATAAGAAGTGCCAAGGAGCATGGTGTGGCCTAAGCCCGACCCCTCTAAGGCACCTAGCCACCTGTGTCTACTCAGGATCCAGAGGCATGAACACTCCAAGTGCCTCAGCAATTCCGTCCTCTTTCAAGCAAAACCAAGGAGGTGCTGGTACCACCCTTTTAGCCTTTATCCCAGTCATCAGAGCACTTCCCCAGGATGTGGGAGACTGGGGTTCACTTCTCCCCGCTGATGTGGAGAAGGTCTCCCAGCTCCCAAGTGGTTGCCCTCATCTTCCTAATACAGGGATGTCCCAACCCTGCTCACTTGGTCCTGCTATGGCACTTGGGGGAGGGGGATAAACAGCATGGTTAGGGCCCTACCAAATTCATGGACATGAAAAACATGTCACGAACTGTGAAATCTGGTCTTTTGTGTGCTTTTACCCTATACTATACAGATTTCCTGGGGGAGACCAATGTTTCTCAAATGGGGGGGGGCCCTGACCCAAAAGGGAGTTGCAGCAAGGGTAGCATGGTTATTTTAAGGGGGTTTGCAGTATTGCCACCCTTACTTCTGCGCTGCTGCCTTCAGAGCTGGGCGCCTAGCCAACAGCCACCACTCTCCGGTCACCCAGCTCTGAAGGCAGCGCAGAAGTAAGGGTGCAATAGTATGGTATTGCCACTCTTCTGCACTGCTGCCTTCAGAGCTGGGTGGCTGGAGAGTGGCGGCTGCTGACTGAGGGCCCAGCTCTGCAGGCAGCAGCGCAGAAGTAAGGGGGGCAATCCCATACCGTGCCCTCCTTAGCTCTGTGCTGCTGCTGGCGGTGGCTCTGCCTTCAGAGCTGGGCTCCCGGCTCTCAGCTGCCGCTCTCCAGCTGCCCAGCTCTGAAGGCAGCACAGCCGCCAGCAGCAGTGCAGAAGTAAGGGTAGCAGTATCACAATCCCACCTACAATAACTTGCGAGCCCCCACAACTCCTTTTTCAGTCAAGATCCCTACAGTTACAATATCGTGAAATTTCAGATTTAAATAGCTGAAATCTTGAAATTTATTATTTTTAAAATCCTATGACCGTGAAATTGACCAAAACGGACCGTGAATTTGGTAGGGCCTTAAGCATGGTGCAACAAACCCTATCTCAGCCTCATCCAAAGGGAGAATCAGCCTCATACTTACCCTCACTGAGCTGCTCAAACCAGCTTTAGAGCCAGATGTGTGGCCCAAATCAGATACACCCCAACAGAGATTCTGGCTCTGTATACACAGAGTTATGTGTTTCCATTCACTGGCACCTACTCCAGCATCTCTGAAAATGTGAACAAGGGCAGAAAGTATATTTAAATAAGGCAGATTACGTTCTCCTCTTCTCGCTTCCATAGTTCACGAATGATAAATTCTTTGTCCTTGATGCAACACTGAAATATTTGTACTGGCAAGGAAAAGTGTCCAGGCCACTGTAGGGGCCTCCAACAAGGCCCTTGATTGTGGTGATCTCTATGCTCATATCCGTATTTCCTTTTCTTAGAACAAGAGTCACCTCTGCACCTCTTCCTGATTTCCTTCACTCCCCCTGCACTATTTTGGTTGTTTGCTAATTATTCCCTATAAGCAACTTGAAGGCTTAGGCTCAGCATTGCAGCACCTAATTTTTAGGGACCCTGCCACTCAGTGGAATTCACACCCATGAATTACGGTTCCAGGTTCCCTTTATGGTGCAAGGGGAGGACTAAGTACCTATGGCTATTTCTACACTACAAGTGCTAGAGCAGCACAGCTGTAGCTATGCCACTGTGGTGTGAAGACTGCCCGCACTGATGGAAGGGGTTTCTCCACTGATGTAGTTAAGCCACCTCTCTGAGACGCCGTAACTAGGTGGACAGAAGAATTCTTCCAGGTGCATCTGTACTAGGGATTAGGTCAACCTAACTACAGAGTTCAGGCATGTGACATTTTTCACAGCTCTGAGCAAGCGTGCTAGGTCAATCTAATTTTTAGGCATAGATCACATCTAAGACTGGGATTCACAGAAGCCAGCAAGCTAAGCAGGGAGCTGCCTAAACTAGCCAGTAGCAAATGCTGAGGAGAGGAGTGGGCCTTAAACCCAAGTAAATGCACTAGCCACACTAGGCTATTGACTCATTTTTTCTCTCTCTGCCCCAGTGGGTGGTGATAGTATGGTGAGGGCCACTGGGAAAGAGGCTTCTAGTGGACTGAGGCTGCTTAAATGTTTAGCTAGTTTAGGTGTACACAATACAAACACATTCTTCTGTAGTTTTGTCCTACTTGGCTTTATGCAGATGGGAGAGAAAGTTAGCTCTAAGGGTTCCTTGTTTATTTTTACTACTTAAACACTTTTACTACTTCCCATTTCCTCACTCCCACCCCTTTTCTTCACTTGTCTCTTTTGAAAGATGAAATCTTATTAAGCATGGGTAAACCTGTTCGTAAAAGAAAAGGAGGAATCAGATCAAACCTCAGCTCTTTACCCACTCAAATCCTAACCTCTCAGCCTCAAGACCTTTTGGTAGACCATTTCCCTCTGAGGTAATTCACTCAAAACCTCAGCTTATAGCCAATGCGTTCCGTTGGGTTTGTTTACGCCTTGAGGTATGCATGTACATTACAGTCACACGTAGTGAACATGGCCAATATCACACACTGTTGTTGTTGCCACCATTATGAACTGAATAGTTTTAAAAAAAATTAAGATGACCTTGAGTCTCTCTTGCTTTTTTGGCAGACACCTTGATATCAATGTTCGTACTATGGCAGCACACATATGACATGTTCCTCTACAGAAGAAAAGAAGGCCAAGGATGCAACCTGACACCTAGCGGCACCAGCAACTAGCCACAGTTTAAGCCCACACCTACCATGTCCTTCCTCTGCAGCAAACACTTGGATGTGGACTAAGAGCTATCCGGGATTGCTGATAACATACAAGAAAAATCACTAATGCATAAGCTGCACTAATGACTCAGTATACAGGGAATACTGCAGAAACAATGGGAAGGAAATATAGTCCAGTGGTTAGGACCACTAGATTGGGTGACCTAGATTTAATTCACTGCTCTGCCACAGTTGTCCTGTGTGAGCTTGGGCAAATCAGTTAGTGTCTCTCTGCCTCAGTTCTCCATCTGTAAACTGGGTATAACCGCACTTCCTACCTGACAAGGGTGTTGTGAAGCTAAATGCATTCAAGATTGTGAGGTGTGCAGATTAAAAAAAAAATCTAGAAAATAAAATAAGAATACTATTACCAATGGAAAAACTGTTACGGTATCAAAATGTTATGAATGGCTAGCGGTAATTGCCACTGATTAGTGCAGAAGCTGCAGGAAGAGACTTTGAGCCGCCTCTCTTGCATGAGACAAGGTATTACATCATATGTATGAGTATAATGGAGACAGAAACAGATACAATGAAGCTCCATGAGATTATAGTTGCTAGTCTCAATTTGGCTGTATACTTCTTGGGAGCTAACATGCTGTGTG